CCCGCGTCCGGCTTGTTTACACCACAGTGGCCCCCGTGCTCGGCCCGTGCTTGGCCTGTTACAGGGATCGGGCCGGGTCTGTGAAGTGAAGGAATGAGTCAGTGAGCCTCCACTGACTCACCACGGTTTCCTCCTGGTAAACAGAGGAGGCAGAATTTGAATCCAGGTCCTTCTGGTCCCAAGCCTATGACCTTTCCATTCTAACTGACTTCTCAGTCGAGATGCTCTTCCCCACAGGGTTGCTGGGCCGAAAGGAGGAAGGCCTGGCCTCTGAGATTGGAAATTTTACTGCCAGTGTTATTTTTATTTAAAATACTACACATGTATTATGGAGTAGAATGTAAAGTAGGCAAAATTTTTAAAATAAAACAGGAGCAAGGTTTCAGAGAAGTCTTGTATTGACATCAGTCCTCTGCAAACCCTGCACTCAGACCCCTGTCTTGACTGCATGAATTCACCCAGTGTTCCATCTGGGATATGTTTGTGGACTGGTTTGTGAACCGTCGCTGCCCCACTGCCTCATGTTCTGATCCGTTTGCCAAAAATTCTGTCTTTGGATTCTCATGTGTGTGATAAGCCCAAGGCCTTGTGTGACTCCTTTTGTTCCAGTCAATTAAGAGGCAGCGGGTTGGGCAACACTGTGGTGTCCCTTGTAGACAGCTGGCCCTGGGTGGTTGTGGCTCTGTGGTAGGGGAGGACCCTGAAGTCTCATAGTGAAATGAGTCAGGCAGTGATGCTGCCTCCCGACATTTTATTTTTTTTTTTTGAAGCTATAACACGTTTCCAGTTCTCCAGCCACCACATGCATGATTGTAAACAACCAGAAGTAATTGCCTTGGAATGGTAAAAGCAAACTGCAGAATTGCCTGTAAATTTGCTTGGCGGAGGGCAAACAATTTTTAAATCAGCCTCACTTGTATGACATTTATGCCTCAATGTTTGAATGCTCTGGCTGTTAGAAGCTTGGAAAATTTACATAATTGTTCCAAGCCTTGAGAAATCCAAGGCTTTCTTTTGAGACCACCAGTGTTGAATGATTCCCTTCTCCCGGTGCCCCGAGGCCAGTGAGGGTCTGAGTCTAACATCTGCCTGTTTAAAGTATCATGCTGCCAGTCCACGCCGAAAGCGGGTTCCCCACTGCTGGCCTTTGGAGGTCCTGTGTTTGACACCATTTCTTTTCTTTCCTAATCTTGTCTGGAAGAACATCGAGCTCAAGGTGGAAGTGGAGAGTCTGAAGCGGGAGCTCCAGGAGAGAGAGCAGCTGCTCATCAAAGCCTCGTGAGTACCTGCATCCTGGGCTCAGGGCTCCGACGGTGCAGGCTGGGTGCGGCGGTAAAAGAGAATCTTGTGTTCCTAAGCCACTTCTCGGGCTGAGCACTGAGGACCTCAGGGAGGTTTTCATCTGTATTTAATTATTCAGCAAACTTTAAACATGTAACATACTTACGGAAAAATGAACCGACAGTAAGTGTACAGCGGGATGAATTTTCACAAAGTGAATACACTTGTGGGGCCCTCATCCACATCAGAAACCAGAGCATCACTAGCCCCCCAGATGTTTCCTTTGTGCCCCCAGAACTTACCCTTTCCCACAAAGATAACCACTGTGTTGACCACTGGTGTCTGTACTGCTTAGTTCTGCCTCTTTTTGAACTTTATAGAAATGGAGTTGTACGCTGGGCACGAACGCTTTTGTGTCTGGCCTCTTTCCGCAGTGATGTGTCTGCAAGACCCATCCATGTTGTTAATTACATCAGCAGCTCATTCATTTGCATCACTGTAGAAGGTCTAGGGGCCTCGGGGTCCTCAGGACCCCTGCGGTGGGTGAGGCCAGGTGGGCAGAGGGGGCGGCTTCCACCAGAGCGACTCGTTTTTGTATCTGCCTTATGTACTAAGGTCCCTTGTAGTCTTTTGTTTAAAAGAGGGGTTCTCCTGCTTTCAAACATTTGAAAACTCTTATTTTATTTCATCAGTCAGTTAATTAATTTAAATACTTACTGAACAACAAGCACCATTCAGAGAATACAGCCTGTGAGTCAGCTGGTCATACATTCATTCATTCATAAACGTTGCTTACGTAAACGTGCCCCGTGCCGAGGATTTGAGAAGAGACAGCCCTTTACTTGGAGCTCATCAGAGGCGGGTGAGCCTTACAGCACGCCGCACATGGAGTGTAACCGAGGTGCAGTGACAGAGGACATTTGTGGGCATGCTGGGAGCACCAAAGTGTGCTGAGTTTCACTTGGTGAGAGAGGAGTCAGACTTCCCAGAGCTGACCCACCGAGGATCGGCTGCAGCGCACGTGAAGATGCTCTATCTGTCGTGGGAGCAGGGTCCCTGCCGGGGACCGCAGGCCAGGAGCATGGCGTCTTTGTCCCAGGGTGCAGCTGCACTGCTCTGGGCCAGGCCATATGATTCCCAGTTGTCACCCTGCCAGCAGCCGGAACGGACTGCGTTGGCTCTGAGTAGTCTAGGGGTTTCCTGGCCCAGGCTTCTTTGAGTTATGCTGACCTTGCACACAGGATATTTTCTGAGTGAATGAATGAATGAATGAATGAACTAGAGTGACATGTTTTTGTTTTCATTGGTTGCTCTTGTTTGGAAGCACATCATTCTCTGGGCAGGAGGTCAGATCTGTGTTACCAAGCCTAGAGGTCAGTGTTCAAGGCTCTTTTTGGTCTGACCAGCTCTATAAATTTATTCAGCAGTTTTATGAATTTATATCAAGCAGTTGCTGTGTGCGGCCCTGGACCAGGTTCCTGGGAGTACTGTCTGATTCAAACAGATGCGCGGGGCTTACATCCTGGAAGGGGTATGGGGAGCAAATACTTGGAATAATACATATATAAATACAAATTGGGAAAAGAGCTCTGAGAAAAATAAAGGAAGCTTTGAGATTTTGTAGCAGCTGGAATAGACGTGTAAATGTAGATACACAGCTGGGAAGGTGGTATTTGGGATGAGATCAGAGGGGTAAGTAGGACGTAACCAGGTGAAAGGTGGAGAAGAAGTGTCGAAAGAGAAGGGACCATGTAGGTCTGAGGAAGTACAAGTGTAGGGGGCTTGGTCTTGTCTTGTAGGGTCTGGAGGCCACTCCGGAGATTCTGGTCTTGATCCTGAGAACAGATGGAAAGTAGTCATGGGTTTTAAGCAACTGACACAAACAGGGCTTTGTTTTTCCAAAGGTCACCGTGGATGCTGAGTGGGAGATGTTCTGTAGAGGGAGCATGGGTGGAGGCAGGGTTAGGAGGCTGGTCTAGAAGTTTGGATGAGAGATTTGGGATGAGATGCCTGGGGGGATGGAAAGTTAAATTTAGGAAGCAGATCTGCAGGGCTCAGTTCTGGGTGGGAAAGGCAGGGTCAAGGATGCCTCCTGGCGAGGGGTTCTGTTTGAGGCTATTTGCAGTGACTGCACTGCCCCACTTTCTCCCATGTGGTTCACAAAGACTAAAAATGTTCCGCTCCTGCGGTTCTGGCTTTGCTCCGGCAGGTCTCTTCAGCTTCCGGTCCCCTCCTGGTCCAGGTGCCTTTCCTGTTGCCTTCCCTCCGTAAAGGCTGCATCCCGTGGCTGCCCGAAGCTCCCGTCTCGACCTCTTCAGAGACTTCTCTGGTGTATGACGACAGTCCCGTGTGTGTAGCATAGACGCTGTCACATCCATTTACATTCCATCATTACCCTGGGAGCTGGGCAACTCTCGAAGAAAACCTAATGTTATAGGGAGGGGGGAGTTGAGGCCTGGAGAAGGGAAGGACCATGACTAAAACCGCTTAGAAAGCTCAGAGCTGGGATTAGAACTCAAGCCCCTGACCGCTGGTCCAGCACTAGGTTTCATATTCTTTATTTTCCTGTGTGTGATCGTCATTTCCCCGACATGACTGTATGTCATGGGACCAGTGGAAAGGGAAGGGGCTCTGGCTTGGCCCTGCTGATAGGTGGGTCTTTGGCCTCTGAGTCTTGGCTTCTCATCCCTGCCGTGGGATGTGTGCCGTGTCTACACACACCTGCTAAAGCTGCCTTTCTTTACCCCGAACTGCCCAGCACCTGGCAGTCTGTGTGTGGCACATACTTGTTGATGGAAAAGAGATACGGGAGCTGTTACAGGAAAAGCCCCTGCTTTTCCTAAAGAGCTATAATTAGAATGGAAAAGGTCGAGAGGAAATGTTGATGGTTACAAAAGGTAGCGAGGCTGGTGTTTATGGAAAGTTCTTTCCTGTATTGGGTGGAAAGCTGGGTTAGACCAGTTTCTCTCAACCTCTCCTCTCCTAAAGTCTTGCTGTCTTTCTCATCTCTTGCCCTGGATTCTATAAAGCAGGAAAGGGTAGAAGGCAGAAACTAACATTGAAATCCCACTTTGCCCCAAACCCTGTGCCTGGTACTTGACATCCTTTATCACGTTTGATTTTACCATCACTGTTTGAGGCGGCCAGTATCCCCATTTGAGTGAAGAGAAGACTGAGGCTCAGAGGAGTGGGAGGACTTGCCTAGGTTGGTCACAGAGCTGGGACCTGTCTGGTCGGGACTCACTGCCTCGCTGTGGCGTAAACATACATGCCTGCTGGCTTGCCATTGTTCTATGTATCGGTTACAATAAGGGGACATTAAACACAAAAGCAGACATATTGTCGGGAGTAAATTTTATCTCTGTGGCTTTAAAACACAAACAAAAATAATAATGCCATTAGTAGGGGAGAACTGCACTGCACTGCCGAGTGTAAATTTTATTGCTCCAGTAACTAAAATACAAAGATGATATATGAAAAGTTGGAACATTTATTATTGGGAATATATTTTATTGGTATAACTAAAACGCAACCAAACTGAATAATACCAGTCAGTACTTGTTAAAAATTGTAGTCAGCCTCTTGACCGCATGTATGAGTCTGACTGTGAAACCCAAAGGGTTGATCTGGGCTGAGAGGAGGGGATGGTGTATTGCACTCACTGGGCCAGGGGAGGGAGGGGTGCGGGGGGGGAGGGGGTAATAGAGTGGGTCGTTTTCTAGAGGAGTCCCTATAGAGTCCAAGGCTGGAACATTCGTGGCAGTCAGTGGAAATTTGGGACAGGAAAAATCCTGCACCCAAGGCTCAGAGGGGGAAGCTGCTAGTACAGAAATCTTCCAGCCATGTGTAATGCCTCTCGAGAAGTGAGGGCAATGATGTGAGTCACTGTGAATTCCAGACAGCACTGATCAAGACATGAGCCCAGGGAGGGGGCGCCGAGGACACTTCACAGCATTAATCAGGAGGTGGCAGCGGTGGTCTTAGTTCTGGCCAGAGATGATCTGTTCTCAGCTCAGACGCCAGCAGAGGAGTGGAATGAGGCCTGTCACAGTATCTCAGCAGGGGGCCAGCACTGTGGTGGCCTCGGGCCCAACAGGCAGCACTCAGATCGGAGAGGAAGGGTGCTGTGCTCCGGTCACCACGTGTGCTAGAGCATTCCTCCTAAGAGGTAATCATCTCATTTTTCACGTGAGGAAACTCAGGTGTGAGAGGTAATTTACCCGGAGTCACACTGAGAACATAATAGAGTCAGAATTCGGAAGCAGAGGTGTCCAGCCTCAGAGCCCCTTGTTCCCATCAAATTCCATTAAAATGATATCATGACACTGGGGCATTCTGAAGGCTTACCCATGAGAGGAAACAAGATATGAATGACATCTTTATTTGCAGGCGACTCATGTTTGAGACTTGGACAGCAAGTATGGCCCTCTTGACTTTCCATTGTTCTCAGTCAAAAATTCACATGGCCTGTACGTGTGAGTGTCTGATCACGTGGCTCTCGGTTGGAAAAATGTTACAGACCCTTAAAGTAGGGCATGGGAGGCCGGTGGTGAATAGATTTATTCTTTTGCAGTTTTTCTGAAAAACTAGCTTTAGGTGGAGCCATTTCCTTTATTATTCTGCCTCCTGGAAACCCACAGTCGTTTCAGAAATCTGATGAGAACTGCTCTGAGTCTGTGTCTCACAGATTCATATCCGACGTTATTTTTCTTTTTCAAAAACCAAAATGAAAGGCATCAGTGGCTGTGGTCCTGTGTCTGATTTTGGTGTGCCAGCTCCACCTCTGCTTGCCAGGCGGCAAGAACACTCCATGATGCCCTGTGCTGAGAGCTCCGCCTTTTATATTAGACGCCCTGCCCTCGGTCACCGCTGGGTTTGAGATGCTTCCCCTCCAGCGGCAGACGCCGTGTACCCTCCCTTCCGTCAGGTTTATCTGAGTTGCACACTGCTCCTTTGCACACTGATCTGTCAGACCCGCTGTCCGCCTTTCCTACCACTGGTGAAGGTGTACTTTACCAGAAGTTTGTCAGTGGGGCATTTGGCAATAGCTGTCAAATGTCTTAAAGCGTGCTTATCTTTTAACTTAGTAATTCCTTTTCTTGGAGCTGACCGTAAGGAAATCACTGCATAGTATGCACACTGTGTCTGTATATATATATGTAATATATATAAAACATACATACGTGTTTTAATTGAGATGCAGTTGGCGTATAACATTGTGTAAGTTTAAGGTGTACTGCACGGTTGGTGTGATACGTTTGTATATTGAATGATCTGTGCTTTTGAATTACAAATACTAATTTTAAAAAGAAAAGCAGCTCAGCCCAGGCCAGTGGGAGAAGCAACCAGCAAATATTTTTCATCTCTTCGGGGTGACTGGAGTCACTATATGACTGTCCCTCTTGTGCGTCTTACACCTTTGCCTCTTTTTGCAGCAAAGCAGTTGAGAGCCTGGCTGAAGGGGGCGGCTCTGAAATTCAGCGGGTGAAGAAGGATGCTCAGAAGAAGGTGCAGCAGGTTGAAGAGCTCCTAACCAAAAGAATACTCCTTTTAGAAGAGGCAAGTCTGGAAGCCCGGAGGAGAATGTGCTCCTTGCAGTGGGTTCATAACAGAGTGGGCAGAACTTTGTTCCTTTTTTCATAAACTGTCAGGGTTTCAGCAGAAACAAGAGCCGCTCTTATTGGGTGTCTCTTGGGCCCCAGCCCCGTTCTAGGCACTTCACATATGGGATTTATACCCTACACCCTGCACCCTACCCTTTATTGCCTCCATCCTCTAGGTGAGGACACGGAGGTACAGAGAGAAATACTAACCAGGGCAAGTTTAATCCTGGATTCAAACACGACTGCTGATTTGACAGCCTGTGTTGTTGCTCCAGCACCAGCCTTCTCGTCTAGTTTATTCTCTTTATTTTACAGAAGAGGAAACGAAGGCCCAGAGAGGGGAAGCGACCCACCTAACATAGCTCAGCCTGGAACCAGATTCCCTAGTTTGCAGGCC